AGGAAACAAATAGTGAAAATAATATAAAATTAATAAATCAAAAACAAAGTCCACCTGAAATAGACTTGCTTGACAAGATCATTTGGACTACATCCTGTCAGCCTACCACGCATTCCATGCGGGGAAATTATCACTGTAAAATAACATCAAACAAAAACACAATTAGAAGGTTCTAGAACTTGTGAGCCAACCTCGCTATCTTGTATAATATGGTGGTTAAGATTCTGTCTTTGTACACAAACCAGGAAGCAGGTAACTGGAATTTTTGGAAGAATGCTCTAGAACTTTTTCTATGTCACTAGTTGAAAGCGCTCGGATATGCCTAAAAAGGGAATTAAATAGGTATCAAAAGTATTGTATTACAGGAGAAATCATAAAGCAACCCAATGCAAACTGCTTAAAAAAATAAGATGCTAGGCTTCACGAACTTTGAGGATATTATGGTATGTACAAAAATTGATTCTTGTGTAGCGGCAAAGATGAACTCAACTGTAGGCTGTGCTCTCCTGCAAAACAATAATAAATATTATTCCAAAAGGGGAAAGCATAGCCAGCATGTTTCAGCAAAATACAAGTAGCTGCATAAGTGATTATACAAAAGAAATTTTCGCACTTTTTCCCTTCTTTATATCTCTCTCTTTTTCTTCTTTACTTTCCAAATGCTGGGGGTGAAGCCAGAGGAGAAGGTTGAAGAGACAAGAGAAAGGAGAGAAAAGAGAAAAGGAGTTGAAAGTCAATAACATTTATTGGCAAGTGATCGGACAAGGAAAAGAAACAACCAATTGCATAATGGCAATCATTAAGTAGTTTCCCTAATGGTGCTCCTGAAAATCCTCCCAGCAAGCATTTAAGATGGATACTCACATATCAATATCTCAAACAAACAAATCAATTCAAGAATAAAAATGAGCAGACCTCACCTATGACAACCTAAATAAGGCACATAAAGAATATTGCAAGCAAAGCAGTAAAAGGTTAAATAATTACAAAAACAGGAAGGTCAATATATATACATAGATTAAGACTTATTTAAGCATCGTGATTCCAATTGAAAACTGCAATACAAAAACAGAAATTAAAGCCTCACTGAAATGTTAAAAGCAATAACTAGCTTCTGCTACCAGGAGTAAACTCAAACGCAATCAGAATTTGTTACCATAAAATTAACCTCCTTTACCATTGCTTTTTGACAAAATCCAGCAAATGTAATCGAACAAAACTCCAATTGCACTGCCTAATAGGGCCTAAATGATTATGGCAACAGATCAAGGACTCAAAAAAACACAAAGAACGTATAAACTAGAATATGTGAAAATTATTTGTATAATGCTTAAAATTTAAGCCCTTTAACTAAAATCTTCCTAAACTTTGAATCTGAACAATTTATTGCTTAGACTTTCAGTTGCTAACAATTAAATCCTTCCATCAGGAGGCTGTTAAGGGAGGTGTTAAAACATCCACCTAAGCTACCAAGAAAAATGCCACGTTATATGAAATTTTTCCACATCATCACCACATAAAGCCATTAGTCAAAATCTTAGTGGCTTCGTAATGCCACATCTTTGTTGGCCTCTTTCAAACCAAATTTGCCTTCATCAATTAACATCGCAATTATTTGTCACAGTTATCATCCACTACACTTTAATTTGAAATAGACCGCAAAAATATGCATAGAAATCAAATGACCCAACTTCTTTATGATTTTATTTTTTTATTTCTTTTCTTATCTTCTTTTGTTTTTGTTATCTTTCCCGTCAACTTTTCTGCATTCGTGATGTTGCCAGAAGGTTTAAGGCAATTAGAACTCAACAATTAAGACTATTCAAGGTTGATTGCGTTTGGAACAATAGAAAGATAGTTTAGTTTTAAAGAAATCTCTTGAATAAAAATTCGAAAAAACAAAGATAATATCCACTCCTCATTCTAATTTGATGATATCCACACTTCAAATCGATCTTTGAAAATACCTTGGAACCAACTAGTTGATCAAGCATCTCATCCAATCGAGGAACAGAAAACGATACTTGACTGTAATCTTGTTTCTGGCACAGCTGTCCACACACATCCTCTATGAACCACCTTTCTTAGGAGCTAACAAAGCTGGGCAAGCACAAAGACTTTTACTTTCATGCACTAAACCTTTTCCAACAACTCCTCGACTTGTCTTTGTACCTCGGCTTGCTGCATAGTCGGCATTTGCATGTTGGATGCTCCAAAGAGGTTGTACTTTTCGGCAAATCCTGATTAATTATTGTTGTCATCACTCTTTGTACCACCAATGACTCCCCTTGTGCAAAATGAACATCAATTTTCTCTATCTCCTCCTCATACTCATCATAAATTGATTCTAACTCCTCCCATTCCAAATAATCCTCCACATGTAACCTCCCACGAAAGTCAGCTACTTCAATCTTAACTCCACCATTTAAATCAAGGGCATGTAGTAACTGATCCTCCAATCCAACTTTTGCCACTTGATTTGCAAGTCCATCTTCATGAAAGGGGTTCTCGTTCTCAAATTTATCATCATCTTCAAGATCTTGAATCTCAAGGGGATTATAATCACCTTTTGGATTCTCCATTCGAGCTCTCACTGATCCCTGACGCTGCAAGGCTTGCATAGCCCGAGTCAAGTCATCAATCATTCTCCGCATATCGAGCTCTGCCTCAACCAACCATAGTTTCCTAACTAAAAATCCTTGTAGGATAGTAGGATCGTTTGCTCTAATACCACTTGATGTAGCCAGAAGGTTTAGGGCAATTAGAACTCAACAATTAAAGCTTGAATAAGGTTGACTGTGCTTGGAACAATAGAAAGATAATCGGATTTTAAAGAAACCTCATGAATAAAAATTCAAAATAAACAAAGATAATAATAATAAGTCCCCAAAGGATTGCCTATTTATACTAGTTAAAATAAATCTTAATCAAATAGTAATACTAATCCTAAATAAAGACTTAAAGTATTAAAATCCTAATAAAGATAGAAAAAGAATTCCAAACTTAATAGAATAAAGATAATAAAATCCTAAACCGACTATAATACTAAATGAAATAGAATTCTAAATGCACCTGCATCAATTCATCTTTCTAAAGACCATTTCCCTCTCTTGGTTTTTATTAGTCACAGCCCCTTTTTCCTCTCTTTGGTGGGGCCAATATTCCTAAGCATGGTGGTGCATTAATAAGAACAGCCCCAGGCAAAGGAGGCATCTAGGTCATGGTAGTGGCCAAGCAAACATCCTAGGCCTCAAGGACAGTGGGGTTAGAGGTGGAACTGTCAGCCTGTACCCAAATTGGGGTGGTGGCACTAGAAATTGCTCAGCAGCATTAGTCCAAAGGCTCATGGTGATGCCACAAACACCAAGAAATCCATCCTAATAAAAGATGGCCCTAGAAATTATTATTTTTTACCAAAAACATATGGCCAAAAATAACTGTTCAAATCTTGATGCATGGTAGATAAGTTATTTGATGTGGCAACTTATGTGGTCATTTTAACATTAGCCTTAATATAAAAAGATATTTTTTTCAATAAAAATTGGCCAAAAATAACCATTCAAATATTGATGCACGGCAGATGAGGTATCTGATGTGGCAACTTATGCAGTTACTTAAACATTAGCTTAACAGCACACTTGCCAAGAGCTTGACTGTTTGCAATCAAATTTTGGGGTATGTGGTTGTTTAAATTAAACGTTCAAGGAGATTTTTAGTCAAAGGCTTACAATTTAGGGATAGTTTGTGTAATTTTGTAAAACTTATTATAGAAGTAAAGGTTAATAATTACTTGAAAAAAAATCAACTAAAAATAATATTAATATAGAATACCAAAAGCTGAGTTAATAATAACACAAGGTACGAGGTACCAACTCAGGTGGACAAATTCAAAAAGGGTCTCGTTCACAGGTGCTTTTATAGGCAATTATTAAAATTAATTAAAATACTATTTCAAGAAATGGTTTTTCATTTAATGCACTATTCTCACCAACTTCAAGAAAAGACAACACATAAGTTATGAAATTCTTTCTATAAATATCACCTTAATGAGTGCCTTCCCATTCAAAAAAAACCAATTAAATAATAAAAATATACATAAAAAAGAAAAAATGTCTTCTTTCTTATAAATTAGGATATGGGTCCTACATATTTTTAAACTTCATGTAAACTTCTTCTTGACCAATTTTTATTCTCTTCTAAAATACTATACACATAGTGCTCCAACTTCTTCTCCCTCCTATATCTTCACATAACAACACTTGAAACTCTTAACTTTTTACCTCTTGTAAAATTTGTTTATTTTCATCTGTGTAGTGGGTATGTAGAGGACTAGTGCACAGATTAAAGGATAACAACATTTAAAGGATCCAACAAAAGGAAAGATTGAATAAATTGATAATTTCAAACCAAAAATAAAGATAACAATGGACTTTCTTTTATCAAATAGGATCACAAAACCAAACTCCTTAGAATTTCGTGTTAATCCATAACGTCACAAATCTCTATCAGCATAAGGAGTTCTATTCAAGGTCCTATCTATGTAAAGGGATCATCTTCCCAACAATTTGTATTCCAATTTTAGCACCACATTCTCCAATCTATAGACCGTCAACTTATGAAAAGAAACTTCCTCCAATAAGGTATAAGTATAGCAGAGTGTGTTTACTGTTACATAAATTCACCATCTGTATTTCTTTCAAAAGGAGAAAAAAAATAATGCCAATCAAAAAATAAGGGCTCTCATAATACAGAACATAAATCTTTTCAAAATTATAAAGTCTGGCTCAGGACTTAAGAAGGGGACCAAAATTGTAAAATCATGTAGAATGAACACAAGAATGCACTCACCATATGTGGAAAAAACCATGTATTGAGGAATTAGTAGAAACTGAAATATAAATAAGTATGCATAAAACCCTGGTCTTCACAAGCAACACAACAAAGCCACACAGGATAACGAAGTAAACAACATCACAAAAATCCCTTTGACTTTTTGCATGTTCGCTTTAAGAAAAACAGATGAAACATAAGTAATGCTGGCATAGACAAATCATTGAGGCAGAATGCTTTAAAATGAAATTAAACATTTGAAATTGCAACAGATTCTGATCTTAGCAATAATGATACTAGCATAGCAAGTGTCAAACAAAGATAAGCATTAAATAATTTCCTTTTTTATGTGTTAACAGAGTTGCAATAATCATGGTCTCTTCTGCCATCAATATCTACTTGAACAAATTAAACTACTATCAACCAACAGAAAGGTAGATACCTGAAACATTCTTCAATTTGAGGAGGATGATACTTTGAAAATACATCACCGAATCTCATGTAGGAGAATCCATGAAGTGCCCTATAAATTTTAATATATCCAAGGTCAAGACATATCCAATATAACATTACCGCTTATGGTGTAGGAAATGGATGAAAAGAAACCTTTCTATGCGATTCCTTAAAGCCTGAGAAAGGGCAGCAGCAACCTCTTCTGAGTCACCAGGAGCCAACCAAAGTCCAGAAGCAACAACTTCAACAAAATAAAGAAATAAATAAAATAGTGCAATTCACAGAGTCATACAGCATAAACATAAATGCCATGTAGAAAACAAAACGAAGTTAGTATAGAAAGCAGACTGGCCGCTCCTAATCTACAAGTCCCTAATAGACAACTTATATATGCGTTCAAGTGTGCAAACACATAAAACAAAAAAACAAAAAAAAGGTCAACGAATATGAGATACCTCTTAACCTGGACACTGCAGATTGAGCTGATTCCAGGACAGACACATGACGTCCCGGGATGAAAAGCCACAGCTTAATTTTCTCATCTATAAAGCAATTAGGTCATAAAGGACCATTGAATGTAGTATATTAGTATAGTGTATTTTTTTTCCTTCAAAGTTAAATCACAGAGAAGTTCGTCGTCAATGACCAAAGTTTGGACTCTAACCTGGATTATGCAGACCTTGAGATGGATCCCAAGGCCCAACAAAGGAGTTGGTCCATGTACTGAGGAATCCTTCCTTCTGCAGCTGCAGGTGGGATGAGAGAACAAGCAACGTAGCAGCATCTTTCTGCTCTGCTTTTATGCTGTGCAGCCTCAAAAACAAATTATAAATTTCTGATTATTTACATTCTGTAACTCTAAATACGGAATTATCATTTAAACTTCTTAAATGCTCCAAGCAGACAGTAGAAAGATAAGAAAAAAAAGATGCCTTGGATTCTAACCTTTTGTCTGGCAGAGAGTTTAAATCAGATTCAACTGGTAGAAACTGGAACCACGATATTTGACTGAGACCTCCCTATAGAAATGGTCCATGTTATAAAATTAACTTAAGCTTTAGGCACTAAAATTCAAAAAGTTGGTAACTACCAAATTTAGAACCACTTGGCATGTATGCTTACAAAGTCAGGCCAAATGAGCAGAACAATTCAATCCATGCTAAATGAAATATATCAGTCATGAACATAGAATTAGTGGACAGGTCCTCAATCTCATCAGAAAAGTTGCATGGCATTTTCAGTGCACAAAATTAAACAAATAAAATAAAAATAAAAATTGTGTGATCAAATGAATATACTGTTTAGCTCATAAGCACCACAGACAGAAAGCATTCCATAAAGAACCACTCAACCCAAAAGCTTAGCTGTTATGTGAGGGTACAAAAATATTTTTCACTAACAAGCATGGCACAAGCCCAATGGAGAAAGCACGGCCAAAGCATAGGTCTACCAATAGCTGGGGTCGAATAACAGGAAAAGGTAGCCAAAATTCAAACTTTGGACTATATTGCCAAAGAGACTCTAAAACTATGTTAAACATCCAACCTAAAACAAATTGGCAATAGGAAGATGGAGTAACTTTAATACAAGACACTGTCCAAAGACACAAACAAACTCTAAACTTAACCAATGTGGACATGAACACTCCTCTTCGAGCATAGGCAACAAACAGCATAGCAAATAGGTAATAAGCCATGTTGGCTCTGATACCTTGTCAAGAACCACTCGAGCGGAAAGCTTAAGCAGTTATGTAAGGGTCCAAAGACAGAGTATATAGAAGGTCTAATCCCTAAAATCTAATGCAAATAGATTCTAAATAAGACGACTGAAAGAAAGTTCAACGTTGAACCCTGTTGGACGAAGCGAGAAAAATACATCCTCTGACATAAAAATTCCCTGATTTCACTAACAACTAAACTAAATAGCATTTTGAACAAAAGAAAATTCAATAGCACTTAGGAAACCCTAATTCTTTAAAGAAACAAGAAAGGAAAAAGCAGCAGATTAGAAATTACGCAAAGGAACTAAAATATTGAAATAAAAAAGTCTGGTAAAGACAGAAGCGACATACGATTCTAAAAACATTTGTCCACATGACTGGATGATATCTCCGAACAAGCTCTCGCTCTCTCTCTCTCTCTCCTGCTGTTCTTCTTCACTTCGACTGCGCAAAAGCGTTCATTGCTAGCTTAATAAATCAACCGCACCGCAATTGATTTTGAATTTCTTGTCATTTTGCAGTTGAAGACCGGAGACCAAGGGAATAAGCGATCACGGCTTTTAGGGTTTGATGATTAGGCTTTCGCCCGTCCTCTGTCTGCGTCAACTTTCAACTGAACCCAACTCTCAAGGAAAATCTTTAAAATGAAAATTAGCAAATTATTTAGAAAGAAGGAAGTCGAAAACTAGTGCAAGACTTCGGTTTGAGGGAAAGGACAGGGTGGAGGAAAATCAACGTGACGCAAACGAAATGGAAGATGGCAACGGAAAAACCCAATCCATGCTACTGTTCGAGCCCGGTTGGATACGTGTTACTATTTTCGCTATAGCTGCAAAATTAAAATTTAAATAATTTGAACCGAATGCATAAGAATATTTTATTTCATTAATATGGAACAGAAAATAATCCTTCTTGCAAATTTAAATTAAATGTTCTACGTTACTATTTTATTCTAGAACATTTTAAAATCAACACAAAAAATAGTTTTTCAATATTACCCTTGATAGAAAACATCCCTAATTGATCTTAAGGTATTTAAATCGGGCAAGCATGTTCCCATGATGTCTTAAGCAATGCGTGCTTGAACACTGCTCCATGGGTGGACACATTCTCGATCTATTTGTGCATAATGTTTGACCTCCTAATTTGTATAGAGTAAGTACTTGTCATGTGATCAAAGTTGACACTTGTTTACTTTTACGGAGGTTAGTTTTCTTGGATCCAAAATTCCTAGGCTTGTTTACTCAAGACTCCATTATTTGGACTCAACTCTCCTTGTTGGTCCAATCTCATAGCTATTTCATCACAACTGATGCAAGCAAGACCCCTACTACCGTCTCTACTTACCACCATGCTTGCCCGGTGACAACAAATGACATCCGTTTAGGCATCTACAAGTGGGACAACGCCACCATCCTTGTGATCCATCAACAGAAATCCCCAAAGCAAGCAAGGGATATATGTTGATCATACAAGGTAAGCACACAATGTGGTGAAACATGACACTTTATATCTACATGGTGTCATTAGGGAATTACATTTTGCCTTTGCAAAATTGTCACATGTATCCCATTTTGAAGACCAAGCCTGTTAACACATTCTTTAGTACTTGAGGCTCTCATTTGACATGTTCAAACTAGAATTCAATTTAGTTTGCGAATCATCACATTAATATAAAACTTCAGAATTCTTATGTACATGTAGCCTTTTTCAATCATAAGGTTAAACCAAAATTTCTACATTCAAACTAGGAGTCTAACTCTTAATCAATTACGCGTTTCCATCATTATTGGCATCATCATAATACACATATTTCCAAGAAGTGTAGACACCAAGGGTAGTAATATTTTCACCTCACTATCAAGGCAAGTCCTGAGGATACTTGTCTCAAGAGTTAGTGGTATTTCTACTGCACTAATTAGGCAACATAGAAGACACCATAAGAAATGCCAACAGTAAACACTATTCACTTTACTTACATTAACATCACTTGCAAAAGTTTCACTACTCAAAATCATAAAGCATGCAATCTTAACTACCATGCCATTTAACACTACCATTCTTTTGGTTTAACACGTTAGATTTCTCACAATCATTTACATAAGTCTTCCATGCAATACATTTGATAACATAGACAGTAACATGTCAAATTCATTTCATAAACAATACTCATTTCACTTTTAACAACATAACACATCACACACTATTCTATTAAAGTTCAGTACTAACTTGCTGTTACATTAAACATTTCATTGCAATTCCAAAAATAATCTTTCTATTTCAGGTATGTATTGTTCGTCCAATATAAACTATATATAGTCATTCATTTAAATTTTACTAGCAAATCAAAACTATAATTTAGTTGTGTCATACTTGCTACATACATCTTGAAATTCCATCCCCATAACCTTATTACAACAAGATTATCTCTCAAAAGGTAATTTCATTTGTACCAAGCAATCACAATAGTGCTTAACTATCCAATAACCATACTAGCATCATCCATTATGTGCATATCATCTTTATATCATATTATTTCAAATAATAATTCTTGTTTATCCAGTAGCACTTGAGATTTGGAAACTATCTGCTCTTAATTTCATAGATTAATCATCAAGTAGTACTTGATTGCTTATAACGGATTCCAATCATTGTGAATTCCAAGTTCTTGACCTTGAGCTAAAAGTAAAATCATAAGCACTAATCAATAGTATCAGTTAAGGTTAATGTGTGTTCATTTTACTTAGAAATTGAGTGACTTGATTAACAACTAAGGTAGACATATGCCTAAATGCCATATATAGGCAAATTAGAACACATGCTTAAAGAACCTATCTTAATCAATTCCTATAAACATTTAATAATCTAATTAGGTTAAGTATTTGTGCAAACATCTCGATCGAGACTCATATATAAATGTGGATTTTGTGAAATCTACATTGAGTAAGAGGATAAGTTAAGAAATCCTTTAGTGAGTATATAGATTACATGTTTTGAATATCAAACTTAGTTTTAACGTCTAAAAGGAATATATTAACACTTTGGTTACTGTCACTTTTTCAGCAAAAATTTTTCTAAGTTTAAAAAGGGTCAAAATATGTGATTTTTATAAAAAAAATTTTAAAAATAAAAAATAGAAGTAATGATTCCCTTGATATTTAGATGACTAAAAATGATTTTTTTTCATAATTTTTGGAGTACGTTTGCTATGGAAAATGGGAGCCACAAATTTAATTTCAATCAAACTTTTTCAATTTTGTTCTTTAAACCAAAATTTTGATTTTGATTTCTTTAGATTTTAATTTTTTTGATATTTTTATTGAATCCAAATTAAGGGGTTATTTACTTATTTACATTAAATACCATTTAAGTAAATATCTTTCTTTTTACTTCTTTTGTTTTTTACTCTCTATTTACTTAAGATATTTAATGTAAATAAGTTAAATAGGTTTTATAAATAATCAGTCTCAAAAACTGCGTTATGTTTCAAATGTAACGATACATGTTCATAATGTATCGGTACATATGGTCATGATTTGATACAATTTTTTCATAACCAAATGTATTGATACATGGCTCAAATGTATCGATACATTTCATTGTTTTCAAAAAAATAAATGAGACAAAACTATATTTCACACTCAAAACTATAAACACCTCACATTCTTCAAGGGTTTTTAACCCTCTGTCATTTTTCTATGGTATTTCTCTCAACTTTAGCTCTCTCAACTTATTTTTGATGCAAATCTTTATCTTTGATCATTAAAAAGGTTGGTTTTGTATTTAAATGATAAAAATGAAAGATTTATGGGTTTCTAAGTATAGAATTTAGCTAGAAAATTAGTTTAGTTAAATCCGAATAGTTAAAGTGCTTACCTGATTACTATGAGATTATTATTCAAGGTAATGATAGTGTTGATTGTTGTAAGATAAGAACACTTGAAAACTCCAAGGATTTTGCTGAAACAAAGCTGCGATTGGAGTTAGGAATTGACTCTCCAATTAGATAAATGGATATACTTTTTCAAGTATTTTAATCTGTAAAGTTAGCATGATTTTTATGGAAATGATTGTTTAAGCATATTGAAATATTATTTCCATAAATGGCTTATCAAAGAATTTGAACTATAAGGTTTTTATGAAATTTTGAAGAAAATCTTCAAAGAACTAGATTTGATAATGATTTGTGTTATGTGTGACATAATGCTTTTCAAATTGTTTATGAATCTACAATGTATGTAAATATGCTACTATGTCTTAGTTTTCAACAATGGGAGACAAGTCTTTTTAAGTTTGTAATCCACTCGATTATTCCAGCCTATGGGCTAATGTGCATATGAGATATTTCTAAGGTTAAAGCATGAATGTCATTATACACATGTTAGATACAATGCATCATGATAAGAATGTTGGATGTATGAGTTCCATTTAAGAGATTATGACATGTATGTGTTAAGCATATCATGCACACTATGGGCTAAACATGTGAGTGATTTATGAGATAATGAAATGCATGCCATGAGATGTATGTGTTGAGATAGTCATATACACTATGGGCTAAGTATGATGATGATTTATAAAAAAACTGTTATACATTCATGATGCAAACTAAGGATGAGAATGATCTTAAGCTTAAAAGATCTTATGATGATTGTGGGCGAGGTCGATGTGCCATTCAAACAACTATGATGGTTGTTCACGTGAGGTGAACAAAATGGTAGTGAGGATTTTGTCCACTACCCACCTAAGTGGGATGGGATCACTTGATAGATCATAGATGAGGTTGATGTGCCATTCATGAAAGTGCACTAGGAACTTGAAATAGTAAAGGGTTAAATCACTATTCATCAGAATGGGACGACCCACTCATAGAAAGAATGTTATGATGAATGAGTTTAATGAGTTTGACGAATGATTGAATGAGTATTATTTAATGCTTTATGTTTAAATGCTTATTTTATGATCAAATGATTATTGATAATATTATTCACATTGTAATGAGGAGTAATGGCTAGGATAGACAGAACCTTAGCCTAAGGAATGATTCCTCAATGTTAAAAAGACTTCTGAATGGTTTAGATTTAGAATATTGCCTAAAAAATAGATTTTGTGGGAAAAGTATCGATGCATGCTCCACATGTATTGATACATTTTCAACAAAATGCTACAGGAAGTGTTCCACGTGCAATGTATCGATACATTGAAGAATATATCGATAGAATTGCTACAAAAAAGGATTTCCAAGTGGTTTTAAAAGGTTTTCAAGGATAAATGAGTTCTAATATTTTAAGCAAAGTCATATTCCATGCAATGTTATTTAAAGGATGTTTAAAATGTTATGCTATAAGATCATTAGAGTGATGATGTTGAATTTATAAATCATATGCATTTACAATTGCATGATTATGAAAAACTCTTCCCCTTAGCTTGTCCCTTTCTTCGTATCCAACCACGGAATCTTTGTAACTCACATGTTATTTTTTCTCACTATTTTTGTTACGAACTAGTGATAACACTTTCTTTCTAGCTACCAGTGTCACGAAGATGTGATTTGTTTATTCCTCATTAGTAGGTGTCTAGCAACCTCTTGATGCCTAGTGAATCGGATCATGTTCTGTTGACGAATCAGTCTATGTTATGTTTATGTTTATAGACTATGAACATGTTTTATGGATTATGAGTATTTTACAATAATGTAGCCAAATGTTTAGGCATATTACATTATGAATGTTATATTAAATGTATGAAGTGGCTTAAGAGCCCATATAGACACCTGAAGGTATTGAGACATCTAAATATTATGGTGCCAT